ATCGATTAGTTTTCTAAATTATTGATTAGAATTGATTAGTTTTTCAAATAATAGATTAGAATTGATTAATTTCTGAAATATATACTAAAAAATTATAATTAAAACTATAAATTAGTTAAGAATATTGACTATTGTAAAGATAAAGTAGAACATGGGAGGAGATGAGGATGATAATATAATGATAGAACTTACAAAAATGTAGAATTGAGAAATTTGAAACAAATAAAATTAAGAAAATAGATATTTAATTACACTTTTAATAAATTTAAGATAATACTAGTTTTGATTTTTATTTTTAAATATTTATTTTAATTATTTAAAACAGAGAAACTATAATTTTAGTTTCTAACTACTGAATTTAAAGAATTAAATTTATTATTATTTAATCTTTTAATTTTAGTATTAAAATTTTAAATTATATTTTATTAAATTAAAATAATTACAATATATTTTTCTACTTTGAGAATGAACAATATAATTAAACTCAAAATTGACAATATTATAATATATTTTTGAACTCTTTTGGATTAATTTTTTTTCCTAATTTTTGATAAAGTTAATTTTAATATTTAAAAGTATTTAACATTTTGATATAATGAACATGATAATATAATGATAGAATTTACAAAAATGTAGAATTGAGAAGTTTAAAAAAAAATTAAGAAAATAGAGATTTAATTATACTTTTAATAAATTTAAGATAATACTAGTTTTTAAACCTTTTTCTAATATTTGTTTTTAAAAATATAATATCATTTTTAATATTTTATAGATTTTATATTTATATATTTATAAAAGTAATTGGATTAAATTTATTATCCTCTCATATATTATTATACATTTAGCGTAATTTTAGTTTATTTAAAAATTAGAATACAAATATACTATACCAATATACCATTATATTATTTTCATTGTATATAAATTACAAAATTAATAATTTGTATACTATACTATACTAACATATTATTTGTATACTATACTAATAGTATAATATACTATATTATAATATTATTTGTATACAAAACTAATATCTTTATATATAAATATATAAATATGGAAAGATATAAATATATGTAAAAATATAAACATAGATTTTATATATCAATATTTAAATATATATTAAAATATATAAATATATTTTTATTTATAGATTTTATATTTATATATTTATACGGATATACATTTATTTGTATATAAATATAATTTATTTGTAAGTTATTATTAAAAGATCCTAGTAGCTCAGTGGTTGGAGTTTCGACCTCCAACTCAAAGGTACAGGGTTCGAATCCCGACAATGACAATAAACGACCTAATAATAAGTTAAACTAAATAAATATAAATAAAAACTTAAATAAGCAAAATATAATATAATTAAGAGATAGGGAAAATAAATAATAGATATAATAAAAATGTAAATAAATAAAAATAATTAAATTTGTTATTGATTAACTTTTTTATTGATTTAGTAACCGATTTTGCACATTTAGTGACCGAATTTTCGGTCACTATTTAGTGTTTTTCTTGTAGTGTTTGTGATGCCCTGCATCCATCATGTCACAACGTACACTGTGTCTTGTGTCACATTTGATGCTCACAAAGGCTACTTTGTGCATCCCTATGTTGCTGCCAAAGGTAAAAATTTGTTCTATATTATTGATTGGTATGTGTATATCTTTTTAATGTAGGTTTTTCTTACTTCTTTATTTCAAATTAATTTACATGAAATCCGGAACAATTCATTATGGTGTAAATCTAAATTGTATTGCTGATATTTATTAATAATAAAAATTTTCAATGAACTAATAGTAATAATGAAGATTCTAATGTTGAGAAAGAAAGGAAGAAAACAAAATATTTGAAGTATGGAAATATTTTGCAAAAGTTGATGCACAAGATGGTGGAGAAAAAGGCAAAATGTAACACATGTGGACAAAATTACGTGATTGGTGGTTGAAAAAAAATCCATTTAAATTTTTATCTTTTTTTTGTATTGTTAATAATAAATGTCAATTATTAACTTTAATGTAACGTTTCTATTTTTTAAATTAATATTTCAAATTAAATCAACTTAATTTTTTTATCATATTAATTTGATTAAATTTATAAGAATTCAATTTACAAAAAATGCTTTTAAAATATTATAGAAACATTTAAAATTTTTGGCATAATATATATATATATATATATATATATATATATATATATATATATATATATATATATATATATAAGATAATACCATAATATTTTCCAGATTTGTAACTTATGGCAATTTATATATATTATTTAGTTTTTTTTTCAAACTGGTAAGTATGATATAATATATACGAGAATTTCATTATTATTTTCGTAAATTCGTAATACTTTATTAATTATGAGTAGATATTTATATTTAGTTTTTTATTATTTAACTACTTTCGCTACTCTAGAGTAAATTTTAATATTTTTTATTGAGTCCAATTATAGGAAAAAAAAAGATAAATCTGTGTCCAAATGTGTTAGCGTTTGAATTTACGAAAATTTGACTATGATTGAAGTCCGATTAATGTTGATTAACAATTCACTTGTATTTGTTTAGTTGAAATTAAATTTTCTATAATTATAGTTGTTTAGATAATGTATAGAATATACGGTGTTATTATTTTTTCCTCTTTATAAGATAATAACATCTTTAGTACTAAAATATGTATATTTATAAGTACAAAATTATCATATTAAAATTAAAAAGTTTATTAACCAAACTGTATGAATTAATTCTTTACTTCACTTTTTATTTTTTTTATTTTTTTTTGCACATAAGTTTGGTAATAAATAGTAAAAATATTGTTGATATGTGGCCTATTATTACCGTATTTAAATACGAACATTTTATTTATGTTGTTTATTTACAATAATAACAAAATGTATTATTAATTATCATCTCAAATTTTTATAATTGAATCCGTTAATTAAATAATATATTTTCTAAACTTGATTTACAAATACAATCATGAAAAAATACACAATTCTTAAAGTTTATGAGTTCATAAAATTTCTAAGAAAGAAAACAAAAGATTATGTTTCTGAGTTGCTAAACGTATTATGGTTCTTTTAGAACCTAATTGTTCTTTCTTCAAAAGCTAGCTCAAGAGGTTGGAAAACCTCCTACCTTATAAGGCCTCCCTGGTAAGGAGACCTCCCTAATGTGGGACTTGTTACAATACCACCCCGTTCGAAAGCCAGCGTCCTCGATGGCTGCACTCCACGACACTTCACTCACCGGCACTTTACTCGGCTTTCTTACCGGTCAGAACCCTCCAGTGGTCAGAACCCTCCGGCGGTCAGAACCCTCCGTGGGTAGCCCTTCTCGAGTTGGTTGGCTCTCAATGAAAGCACCATTGTAACAACCATAAGGCTAAGAGGGGAACCATCCCTCAAAAGCTAGCTCAAGAGGTTGGAGAACCTCCTACCTTATAAGGCCTCCCTGGTAAGGAGACCTCCCCAATGTGGGACTTGTTACATATACTCACCCATTAAATTTGACTGAAACTATTTCCAAGGGAACAACATTGTTTCTGCAATTGAAATCACAATAATCTATCTCAACCAACTTTCAAGCACTATATCAGATAGCATATCGAGTGTAAGTTGGTTAACCACTCAAATTTGTCCTCCAATTAATCAGTTTCCAACCCCTATCAATCATTTTGTTTACACTGACAACATTTCTGTGGACCTCCATTGCAAAAATCATCTTTTGCTTCTTCCTACACTTTACTTATCATGGTTCCTTTGTTAAAACAGATTTTCAGTCCCTAAAAAGCAATGAGAGTGGGAGTCATGGTGCAGAAATTTAAGACACATCTAGAATTTAGAGAGATGATACAACTACACTTTATTCTCTCCATTACTATACTTTTAGGAAAATAAATGAAATGCAACTATATACTGGAGAGTATCATTTATTTCCTCAAAAGCATAGTAATGAAAAAAATAGAGAGGGTCTCTTCTTATATCTGAAAGGGTACACACAGTTCTACTTTCCTTGCTTCCCGATGAACACCAAACAGACCCTAACAATGTGGAGGATGTGAAACAAGAGAACAACTTCTAACAAGAAGGAGTCATAAAATGGAAGCTGGTTTTACACTTAATGCATTTTAAAGTTGATATTTGATGCTATAAAAAACTGTTCAACCGCAATGGCAATGAATGACTTGTATGCAGAGTACAAGTTGAAGAAGTTAAAGAAAACTGGTTCAACTGATTAAAAATAAGCCTCCGCAACGAGTTAAAGAAAATTATTTAATGTAACTGCAAAAGCATGCTCTTCCACAGACAGCATAAAATTTCGGAGTTAAAACACACTTTTGGTTTCTTAATAAACACTGTTGAGGCAATGATAAACAAAGTCGATGTTATCTATTATGTTACCTTCAGTGCTTACCCATTCCAGTCCATCTAATTATAGCACACATGTTGAACTGTTCCAGTGTTTGAGTTAACTGCAAAATTAGAAGCATTTATGTGGTATTTAACATTTGACAGTGCTTATAATGCTGAGCATCAATGACATTAATGATTGAATCCACGTGTTATTTCATGTGTTCAAATTTCAATAGTTATATAACGCATGTGTTTTGCTGAATCCTTGAACTCACAGCAAAGTGACAAACAAAATACAATGGAGCATATAAAATGTTACTCCCAGTAGGGTACCAAATACAGAAAAATAAAAGTGTCAAAGGCCACAGACATGCAGTTTCCCACACCTAAGTACTATACATTAACACATGGACATACAAAGGCTTCCTTCATATGAGGAAGAGCCAATATTAATGAATATCCACTCAATGTTACAACTAGTGCATAAGATTAATGATGGTTGTCTAAGTGATCAAGAAGCCTAACAGCTCTATGAATGTCTAATATCAATTCATGTGAACCTAATCTTCTCACGGGATATAACAGACCAAACAAAAAACAAAAAGAGATACAGCAGCCAGAAAAACAAACTCTTACGATGGAGATGCAGTGCGTGTAGATTGGTACATGTTGGCAAAACTCAAACATAAGTGGCGATCTCTATCATCCCCCCAACCTCCCCAACCTTTAAACCCTGCTTTATAACCAGGCTGATTCTCATAGGTGTGGACTTTCCAATGCACTTCAATGTTAGAAACTGTGTCAGGCAGTTCTACATTAATGTTCACCATGCCATTGTCCATGCAAGCCTTATTCTCCCCTTGACCCTGATGCAAACCACATCTCCCAAAATGAACTGCACTTGTCCGAGGACCTCGTAACGAGTAAACAGGACTACCAAATGAAGGATAAACAGTTGCCCACATTGTGATATCCCAATTATAGTCATCAAAGAAACAAAACTCTCTAGCCTTGTTGTGTATTTTCTTCCAAACAGTTCGATTGAAAGAGTAACCCACATTGCCCATTCTCTCAGCAATCAAAGATGCCCACCCTTCACCTCTTGAGCTCACATCAGAAGGTGCTAAATTAGCAGCATAACAATTAGGACATTTATTAGGCTTCAGCGAAGTTAGGACCTGTAGATTGCGATAAGCATTGGGAAATATGAAGTGGTCTTCTTCAATGAAAAGAACATGACCAGAATGATCCCTCGTCTCTCTCAATCCATCCCATACTGTGTTCATCATCCACCACCAATGATGCTTCAGCGATACAATCTTTGGCGACCGGTGGTTTCCATACTGATCAGGATTCCCCTCGCAATGCTTTTCTCTGGCATCATCTTTATCCCTGCAGTCATTAGCCGAAACCCCAGGAAAACTATCAGAAAACAGATGGGGAGAATAGGGGGCATATATCTGTTTAACTTGGCAAAACCTGATACCACCAATGATCTTGTTCATCTCCTTAAAATACCCATCATGACTAACAATTAGTAAGGTCTCGCCGATCCCCACCACGCGTGAGAGGCTCTCAACAACCACTTTCAGATATTGAGGCCGGTTGTGAACATACAGAACAACAATGATATGATCCTTCGCGAGAGTCGGATACAAATCCAAGTTTCTTGGAGGCAACCCGTTAATCTTCTCCAATCTGAGTGACAAGTCACTCTGTTGGGGGAGATCATGCCACTTTCCAAACTTCAAGTCATGATGGTATGGATCAACATGGTCAATATCATGAGTCCCAATTGATGTTGAATTTGATGTAAGAAGAAAAATCATAAGCAAAACCCCGCATAAAGTAACAAACACCACAGATAACAGACGGCACAAAGCCACATCTCTAAGTCTAAGGCGGGGATTCTTGGAAGAAGCCATAATAGTAGAACTAACCATACAGCGGCAACACATAAAGCATCAAGAGAGACTTTAAATTCATTCACAAATTACATCAAACATTAACTATACAATCAAATTGACAACAAGGCATGAACTACTAGTAAAAAATTGATACATCAGAAGAAAGAAAGATAGAGTTTTGAGTACCAAAAACCTATGATGGTGGCTTTGATGTAGAGATTGAAGCAACCACAGCGAAAACCCACTTCTACTTAGAGCTAAGGAACAAAACTTTGCACTTCCCCTAGCACGTGGAAGTAGACTCAGACACAAAAACCAAGGTTGTGATGGCTAAGTAAGAAAGATCCTTTCAGTAAGGGATCAAAAATGGAATGGGGAAAGAAGAAGCGTGGAATTGGGGTGCAGAAAATATGAAAAAAGTGAAGACTTGGTAGAGCAAAAGAAGGTTTGTTTTGGAATCAAACGTAGAAAACACAACAGAAAAAGAGATTTGAACTGCAGGCACAACAATTGGCGATGGAAAAACCAAAGATTTGAATCCGTTGGATCTGATCGGGTCGGGTATGGCGGCTATGAGAAGCAAGTCAGTCAAGGAAAAATGACAATTCAATGCCTAATCATAACAAAAAAAAAAGAGTCAATTTTCGACTTCCAAAATTCATGGTTCGTACTTCATACGGCGTATACTTTTATTATGTGCTTCGATAATTAGAACCAAATTCTTTGTAGTCATACGTTGTAGCCTAAATTATCTTTTAATTTTGTTGTTTGAGTCTCATTTATGTCTTTGTCTGTGTAAATTTTGTTCTTTTAGGTCTAGCTTGTTGATTTGGTCCACAAATCTTTCTTTCTAAAGGTATGTTTCATAATAAAGGCTACAAACATATCATTGGACCTATTGGTTCATGTCAATTAGGATTATTTTTCTATTTTTCATTTTTTTTTAAATTATTATTGTGTCTTTTTCCTTTTTATATAAATTTTTTACTTTTATTTGTGTGAAGGTTCATTTTATCTTCGTCCTTAGCAGTAAGTCATACAAAATTCTTATTTTTTTTAAAAAAAACAGATACAATTAATTTTGAGATATTATTTATATTTTGTTCAATAAAAATTAAAAAAAAATCTCAATTGTAAATATTTATATTAAAAAAGTACTCATATTACTCACGTAAAACTCGTATGCATTACTAAGTAAAATTTAACAAAATACATTTAAGTGTCTCACAAAATTTGATTGATCAATAAATATCATTAAATAATTTGTAAAAAAATTATTAACATTAATAATTTTTCTTACAATAATATTATTTTTTTTAGTTAAATAGGTAATTTAGTCTCTTAATTTATTAAAATGTTTTAATGTGGTCCTAAAAATTTTTAAATTTTTAATTTAGACATAAATATTGAAATTGATATCAATTTTGGACTAAGTTACGTATGTTCTACGTTATATTAGATACCTAGTTAGAATATCAGTTTTGATGTGATTGGTTATAGTTACGTGACAGATTTGTCACGTCACATCAAAATTGGAGGAAGAAAGGAATAAGATAGCATATGTGTTTAGGGTTTGAACAATTGAGAGTTTGTGCAAATGGATGAGGGAAAGTGAGAGGATATGCAACTACAGAGGAGGTAAGAGTTCCATTTGTGACGACAATGTGGATTTAGGGTTTCAATCATCGTCGTGTGTGAGATTGACTATAACAAAGGAGGAGGAGGTTGGTTCCATTTAGGATTTGTGACGACGACATCGAGGGAGTGAGTCGTTTCCGACGACGAGGGAAGGGGAACCTGCGACGACGACGAAGTCGAGCACGCGGGAGGGACTACCTGTGACCTATTATGACAACGAAGGAACGGTGGTGATGAGAGAGGAGTGGTGATAAGCGACCATCGTTGACAAGAAGACAGAGACGAAAAAGGAGTCAAGCGAAGAAAGTAAGTGTTATAACTTAAACCCTTTTTTCCTGCAATTCTAATGTGACGTGACAAATCTGTCACGTAATTATAACCAATCACCTAACCCCGCATCAGAAATGATACTTTAACTTTATTTCAATTAGGCATCTAATATAACTGAGTCAAAACATAAATAACAAGTAGTCCAAATTTGACATCAATTTTAATATTCATGTCTAAATTGAAAATTTTAAAAATTTTGTGATCAAATTGAAATATTTTAAAAAATAAAGAGACTAAATTATCTATTTAACCTTTTTTTTCAATAAGATCGTGATATTACGACAAATTAAATAAATAAAAAAACATTATAGTTCTATTTCTTGCTTAATGTTTTTAGAGATTGATTTTGGTTATTAGATATATTAGATGTATTTATGTTGAGCCAAATTACATGTTTGAAAATGTTAAATAAATGATATTTAATAATAACATAATTTAACTCAAGTATTTTTTTAATCATGATATTGATATCATATTTTTTTAAACTTTGTCATTCTCTGATTTGTAACGAAGAAGTAGACATTTTCAGTGGGATCTCCTCTCCCAACTACATTCTTCTTCCCCTTAAAAAAATCATTTTTAATTCTCAATATTTATTATATAATAAATTGTTATTATTATCATTTTTTAATTGTTTGAAGATAGTTGTTAAACAAAAATGATTAAATATTTTTAAAAAAATATTACTTGTTACTTAAATCTTTTTAAATATAATTTTTTTGTTGTTGTCTTTAATAAATCTACAATTATATTTTTCTACATAAAATATGTTTTCATATTGTAATCATAAAAAATATTTATATTTAATTTCATTAAAATATTTTACCTAATTTTCATACAATACTAATTAATATATACAATTTTTAATCATCATGTTAGTTTTATGTTACGAGGATAATTAAATAATACTTATACTTATATGTATATAATTTTAATTATATAAAAATTTGATTTTATAAAAGATCACAACTAACAATAAATGTATACTATCACAATCATTAGGTTTACGAAGTTTTTCTTTGATAAATTTTAGACAATATAAAGATGAATTATTTTCACAACACTTAAATTCACACCCACAAACATTCACATTATCAATGACATATAACATTAATGGTTTCCTGATTAAAAACTTAATAGAATAATTAATATATATAAAAAATTAAAAAAAAATAATGATAAGTATTTATCATAATTATTATTGTAAAAGAAAATATACGTATCCTTATTTTTTAATATTTTAAAAGCATAGATAAGATTCAATATTTTGAGAATTAAACCCCAAAATTTGAGAAATATGAAAAAACTATACATACTTTCAAAATCTATTTTCTGAAATGTTGACTTCAACTATGTGTAGGTGTACAGTTTGAAGAAATGGGGTAGTGTAGTAGAAAAAAAAAAAGAAAAAAAAGAAAAAAAAAAAGAGACATTGCTGGATTTGATAAGTCGCGAACAAGGAAGCTCATTGGGCTGAAAACTCAGCACCCAAGAAAATGGGCTAAGCTACAGTGCCTTCCATCGTTTACAAGACTATTTGCAGTCCCCTAAGTTCTATATGCATCTCTCTATATTTATTAAGAAGACAATATTAGATAGAATATGTTTTAAAATAATGTTTTAGAAAAATTACAAAACTGATAATTCAAAAATATATTCCAAAATGTTTCAGAATAATCCACCCATAGTATTATAAAAAAATAAAGTTCCAATATCGTAGAAAATAAATAAATATCTGTGTTTTTATATATAATATTCTAGATGAAAAATAATAATAAAAAAACTGTGTAGAAGTAGTCATGGAGATGTAGTTGGAAATTACAGGGGTGCAGAGAGCAATTACCCAATTACGTCCACTGAACGAATAATATTACCAAAATACCCTTCCACTTGAATCACAAAATTCTTGACACATCCAACGAGAAAAAAAAAGCTATTTTTCGAGTCCAATGGAGGGTCACTACGGTAATTTACTTCCTCTCTTCTTCACTCTATATGTAAAAGTTAAGTTTTCCAAAATATAAATAAAAGCTTTCCAGAAAACTGACAAAGTTTTGAATTCTATACTTTTGGAAATAACATTTTGAAATAAATTTAAAATGTTTCGTAAAATTATTCTGGAACAATAATCTTATTAGGAAGTTTTTCACGATGAATAATTTGTAATAATTAAAATTTAATATTTACAACTATACATAAAATAATTTCTTTTCTAACCGTTTTTTACGTTATTCGAAAAAATAATAAAAAATATCATAATTTAAAAATAATTATGATAATTTATATACTAAAAAATAATAATAATATGAAAGAAAATTGATATATTAATAAAGAAAAATAGATATATTTAAATAGTGAAAAAAATAGTATTTTTTTCAAAAAATTTAATTAATATATAGATATATAAATTTATTTTGTAGAAAGTATTTGAGGGATGTAGGAAGTAATAATAGAGGTGTAAAAAGCAAATCCTTAATTTCGTACGCAAGGAATTAATATTTTCTATCGCACCTTGAAAATCATACCTGAGTTTTATATTTACAAGATATTATAGAGGACGCAAGGAATAAAAAAAAAAAAAAAGAAAAAAAAAAAGCATTTTTGTGAAAGAAGATGAATGATTATTCATGACCCCCAGCTTAAATATATATAATGGAAGTTTTGGAGGTAGCTAGATTCAGCATATTTAATAATTTGGGTTGGTGTTTCTTGGCATTTTGGCAAGCACATGGCATTCTCCATGATAAGTTATTTTTGGTGATTTAAAGGGCATTGACCATTTCCTGAGCTAAGGTCTCAACCTGTGTTGTCCTCTTCCTTTTCTCCAAACATTCATGTGATCACATGTGTCCCCCCCATCTTTCACATCTCTTTCTCTCTCCCTCCAGGGAACATTTTGACTCAATATTATACTCTCCACTTATGCTTCTATTTCAGTTATTACAGTTATGGAGTTAGTTGCATTTTGTATGCATCTTCACCCAACCCTTTTCTTATATCATGTATACAAATAATCTGTGTGGCAGGAGAGTTTTCTTTTTTTAAGTTTGTTTCAAGTTTAGAGGGGT